GGGGGGGGAGGTGTTGCACTTTAATCATTATTTCACTGAACTTTAAAAGATCAGGTACAGTGTTTTCTATTCATCTATCCTGTTTTAACTAACAAAGAAAAGCATTTTCATCTCTTTATTGTAAGGAATATGGACAGTTAGCTTCAACAGACTTATGTTGATTTCAGACGTAGACTAAATGTTTTCATCGAACTGGTGGTTTCTTAACGGTCATCTGTTAGTTAAAACTAAAACTGTTCACGATATTCGAGATATAGGCGGAGGTACTAGCCTGCCTTTATCGACTGTTGATGAGACCCTTTATCCCCAGTTCTTGTCATTTTTGTACTACTTGAGGTTTGATTGACCTTACTTTTAATTGGTCCTCAATAACTTATTTATAGAGGCATCAACCACCCATATTCAGGTGCTATTTTAGCCATTACTTTTACTTTTAAACAACACATTAAGCTTCGTAAATGCCAAGACCTCAGGAAGGATTAAGTTATACACCAACGTTGAAAATGTTAGCATAGTTAGGCTCTGCGCGGTGGTAAAAACTTACCTAAACACGCTACTATGGTGGTATTGACAGTAGATGGATTGTTTGTGTAGTATCATCGAGTGCTAGATCTATAATTTTCCTCGACTAAGGCTAGGAATTGATGTTCCCTCTCATTGAAGTAGCGAATTAAGCGTCGTAGGCTTTTTGTTTAAGAAGTAGTTTAGAAATTCAGGTCATCGCCAGACATTGCCGGATGAGCTAGTCTTATCGTTTTTCCTTACAGACAGTATCAAGGGACACCCCCCCCCCACCACAAGCAGTAGCAAAAGCAGCAAAAGCAGCAAAAGCAGCAAAAGCAGCAAAAGCAGCAGCAGTAGTAACAACAAAGACGACAACCACCACAACGAGGACGACCACAACAGTAACCCAGAAACAGAATCGGTGCCAGTCCAGATAACATCAGAATTTGACGTCACCGACTTATTTATGCTGTGTAAAAGTTACGTTCTTTTGTCTTGTAATCTATCTATTCCCATTCCTGGTCAGCTTTTTGATTCACATGTGCTGTTTCCGTCCCCAAGTAA